AGTGAATGTTTCGTTCCTTCGGTTGAAATGTAAAGAGCCAACAAAATCCTGGCTATTATCCAAGCAACCGCAGTCAGTAGGAGTCGGAAATGGACAAATGAACTCGAGCTCTATCTGAGGTATTCCAAAAAACATTAAAGCTCAAATACTGGTAATTTCAATTACTAATATCGATAAGTTTCACCTTACAATCAGGGCTAAAAATTCCTAGCAACAGTGGAAATTATTATCTGTTAGTCGGAAAGAAATAATTTGCCTCTTCATCTAATAAATGTAATTGTTGCTGGGGTGGACATTGCGCAATTGGGATATTTCACAAAACATCTTTTGTATCATTCAAAAAAATTTTTCATCTTCAACTTTCTTATTCATGAATGACATTTACTTCGCGTATTTTTGTGCAAATCGACATTTTTTGCATACCTAAAGAAAGTTATGCTAACCTTATCATACAGCTGCATCACCAGAATAAAGGATATATTTAGCTGAAGTTTAGGTAACTAAGGAGGCTAGTGGAAGCAAAAACCTAAGTTATTTTTACAATATCGATGGGATGAAGTATTATTATCCTCACATTTTTATATCGAACTACATTTTTATTAAACGCAGGATTTTACACAGAAATATTTCTTGGAGAATTAACAAATTACCTAAGAAAATGTAAGATAATTATATGAAGTTCTACAAATCCCAACAATCTGCGCTGGAAATTGTAGATTACACATCGGGAAGTAACAAGAAGCAATACTGATGTAGGTAAATAATATAAAATTAAGTGAAAATGTTGGCACTAATATTTATACGTTCAGATCCATAGAAAAAATTTGCGCATAAAAGTGAATGTGGACCTTTCGGAAAAGGATGTAATTACTTGAAAAAAACGAAATTTAAAACAGAACAAATCAAAATTTCACGACATCCATAATCAACACTAATACGATCCGAAATATACCTAAATAATAACCTGTCATTTTAAAAGCGAAAAAATCCTTTCGACTTGAGTTCTCCAAGCTCTCTTTTTGCTACACACTTGTCGACTAATTCATAACGTGGAATACGCTTAATATCACCATAACCAACAATGGAAGGACGTTTCGACAGCATACGTTCTGCTATCTTCTTGATATCGCTATTTGTTATTCGATCTGACAAATGATTATTATTAAGGAAATGCCAATAAGTCCAAGTACTACATAAACTTATACTTCTTAATTAATAGTTTTGCTTTCGGTTAACATCGAGGAACTGCATCTACAGTTATATCAGTGGATGTAATCAAGGTAATTTCTACAATCAAAAAATATAAACAGTTACCAATTTTTTCAATATATTCATTCGGTTTCCGCCGGTAACCATGTCCCAAAACTTGCCGAGCCAAATCTTCAAACATAACAGGTCGTACTTCTAAATTCATCATCAGCTGACTTTTCAACTGGGTCTTAGACCGAGACAATTCTTCGTTTTCCACTCCTTCAGGTAACCGTAAAAACTGTTCCAATATCACTCGGGCTGTTTCATCAATCTAAAAATTTAAGTGAAAAGAACGAACTATGTGCATATCAAGAAAAAATCAGCAAACTATGTTAGGAAACTGAACCCGTGATGGGTCGCTAGATGCTTGGATGTGGAAAATTCCAGATTCCCTGTAAGCGTGGTTATAAGCTGTTGCATTATACATCCAATGATGCCTGAAATTCAGCAAATTGGCAATTATGTTCAACAATATTTTTAAAGAAAATGCACAATAGTTTTTAGCAGAGAACACAAAAAGATGGGAACACACAAAATAAAATGAACTCCTAAATAAACTAAAATAAACTCCTACTTGTTTAAGACGTCAACGTATAACCTCGTATACATTCCTTTACCTGGTCCACCAGCACTAAAACTACCTCCTCCTCCCATTAACGATTGCAATACGCAGAAAGCTACAAAATCGTCATCAAGATATCCACAACTTTCGAAACCGAGAACAAAATGAGCAAGATTAGGATACGGTGTTGGACCAAGAGCCATGCAGCTGAGATCCTTTGTAATCTAAAATATGACAAATTTTTTGCCCTAATTTTGTGTTTTTAAATCTTAATTATTGGAATTCTTAGGCAATATTTAATAATATATCCCAGTAATATAAACCATGCGAACTAAAACTGCCGTAGATATTTAGAATCAAGCTTACAAGTTTTTCTCCACCAGTATATTGCGCTATTGAATCATCTATTGGAGGATTTTTTTCAAGAAGTATTGACGGATCTTTCGCCCAAGCAGTTTTCGAGCCATCGAAAAGTTCTCTAGATAAAGAAACTAAAGCATCATGATCAACACCAATACCTGCAAATTTTAAAAGTGATTACGATGTATTCAGCTGGAAAGTTGTAACCATTAGATCGTGATAAGATTGCGTAAAAATTTTGAAACAGAGCTGAATATTTCAAAAAGTGGAAGAAAAATATTTTGACAGGGAAGAAAAAATTTCTATAAGGCTTCAGTGTTTCGAAATATGTGCTTATCTTGTAATAGACCAGTTTATTAGATTTCCAATTATGATAAGATGCCTACCACTATATCTTCAATAAATAAAAAAAAGAGTCGGTAATAGGAAAATACGGCACATCTAAAAAAAGAAATATTCACCGGCAACTACTATGCGGTTTGGCTTGTAATACTGCTTCATGAATGTATAAATATGCTCTTGATTTATGGCCATTATGCTTTCTTCGGGGCAATATTTGGAGAAACCCAAAGTATTACTGTTATAAGCTGCCTGCAAAAAGAAAGCTTAATAATCCAAATCTGATAATATATAACCACAAATTGCAGTTCTATATCCAGCACAAATCGGTTCAAAACGATCCAGTTTACTTCATTTTAACTCACTCAATTTAAAATTTGTTCAGTTTTATTAATCCGCCAAAATATAAAAAGATTACAGCATGTATCCAGTCGGTAAGTAAGGGTTCGCATTCTGGTTTCGAATTCATATCTTTATTTTCGAAATCAATAATTAATCGAGCATCTTCTATCTGTAAAATTTATCAATTCATTCGAGTTCTACATAATAAAAAGGGGAAGTTTCTCTTCTGAATGCGTGCAGTCTTAAAAATTATTGCTTCAACAGTTCGTATTTAGTGATTAAAATCTTACATCATTTGAATTAATAATCGGCCTTTGCACCGAATCAGCAATCAACCTTATTATATCAGGGAAACCATCGACTTGACACGAAGATGCATAGATAAATGTATCTTTAGTCGACTGACAATCAATTAAAGCACCACGTTGTTCCAATAAACGGAACAAATCTTCCCTACTTGGAAAAGATGGCGTACCCTAAAACAAGGCTTATTCAATCCTTCCATTCATATTTCGAATATATGACAGTAAATATTCGCAAAAAAAAAAAAAAGAAAAAAGAAAAAAGCATTGTGGAATCTGTTTATATTCTAACCCGTTATTCACATAATGGGTATAGTTCTTAATGAAAAAACCAAAAAAAATGGCACGATGGACAGGAAAAGTCAAGGAATTTAAAAGTTAATATCCTAATAACCCCAAAATGAAATTTTAAGGCAAGTGAAAAAGAAGTACAACTGAATGAGTAAACACTTACTGTAAAAGCTATTTTTTCGATGAAATGAGTGGTGCCGAATGGATAGCCAACTTCATAACGTGAACCAGCATCTATAGCAACTGCAAATCCACTTTTGAAAATTCGGCATGACTTCATTAGAGTTTGATTTTAAAAAATAGGTCAAAAAATGGTAAAACTTGGTAGTCGTAAATAAAATTACAGAAAAAAAGCAGTATATGAATACAACGATAGCTTGACTGACGAAACAAAATGCCAATTTTAAGAGATCGGCACCTGTCCATAAAGTGGTGCAATCACCAAATGATCAATTGTACCACATTCACCACATTTCATTTGAACTGATGAGATCACTCTCCTTTAAAAAAGATGAACAAACCTCCAACAGTGCAGTACATTCCATAATGAGGTTCCGTGGCTACTTTAAGCCCATTTTCTAATACTGTTAATTTTGTATCGAACGGTTTGACATCAGTTTGTTTCAGATATCTTGCTTCTGAAAGTCCAGGTACTGGCTCCCGTAGTGATACATTATTGATATCAATAGAATTCTGAAACAGAAGCACCACAGTTGAAAAATTCCTTCTATGAGGAATTTGAGAGTGCATCAAAACTCTCCCGCTTATAGCTTTCTCATTTTAAAGATTCAATAAATTGCTTCGCTGAATAAGCACTTAACTAAGTCTTACAACAAGGAAAGCATACACTGAGTTTTTCTACAAGTGGAGAAGCAGTAGCATAATGCGAAGTTGTTGATCCTTTCTTCCCCTTCGAAGAGAAGTTTCTGCAATGAATGATATCCTTACATATTTTACACATTTGGAAAAGTGCTAGTACTGGAAATTTAAGAATGATTTAGTAATGAGAATAAAAGATGGATGGATATCTGAATTTCACTAAACAGAAGACGATTCTGTGTATAATTTAAGTGTATCATTTATCACAAGTACTGTTTTATTGCTACGGCAAAAAAGATATTCGGAAATGATAAGGAAAAATCCATAAGTTATACATGACTTATATTTAATCTCTTATAATTATTCAGCATATCCAAAGAGCAAGTGGTTGTAAAAAGTCCCCCACACTATTTTTGATAAAAGACTCTTCTAAACACATGATTTAAGCCTTTATCTCCCCATACAACTATTTAACGATCTTATCAAATTGTAATCGTAATAAAAGTACATGGATTCGCTCACGTTCATAATATACCTAAAAAAAAGAAAATGTATAAAACTACCTGAAAAAAAGAAGAAAACTACCTGAAACACAAATTTGCGAGTATATAAATATATATATATATATCGGGAAACTATCTGAAACACAAATTTACCTTGGGTGTGAACGAGATATTTCCCGCAGAGCTCTCGAACAAATGGTACGAAACTTCAACGGTACCATTATCTGAAATAAAAGTTAATTGTACGTAAACTAGGAAATGCCTAAGAAATCGGTGGTAAAACGTCCAGTTTCAACGCATCGACCATTACTTTCAGCTTAATATCCCTGGAAAAACAGAGCTTATGTCGTAACATTACCACCGCCACGTAAAACAATTATCTTTCCAGAGTGTAAGAATCCCCAAAACTCACAGTCGAACCTATAAAAGATGGACCTTTCACCTCTGAAGGAAGGCACAATACCATAGAAGAATAGGCGTAAGAACAAACTTCGATCTTTCACGAAACCCTTCATAAACCTAACCACCTCTGATTTTTCACTTACATAAAAGTTTATCCGGAAACCGAGATCAGGGAATATTCCTGCGACATGAACTTTCTTTTACAGCCTAATAATGTGAAGAACTGAGGGGGAAATTGGGAAATGTTTGAAGATTTAAGGCCCTTAGATTCCCTTAGGCCACACTCGAACATTTGTCTTCCAAATTATCGTAGCAGATTTACTGTAAATTCAACTATGAAGTTTTGTTTGATGAAAAAAGAAAAAAAAAACAAGAATTGAAATAAAATTGGGAATGAAAGTATCGCGATATAGAATGTACAGAATTTAAAAAAATTGAATTTGAATTCAAGTAAAAGAGAACAGTTCGAAAATAACTGTGCTATTTTACCTGTACCTTGATTTTTGATCTGTTAATTAATTAATTAACTAAATCCTCGGATATCCAACGACAAACATGTGGATTCAACTTCTTTTGCCTTACTTCTCATGTATTGCTATCTATATCATTGTCTTTCTAATTTTAATATCAAAAAATTTAGACTGTGCGTTTTGCTTTTACATTATAATGAAAAAAGGAAAAATGAAACTATTAACAAATGGTATTTCTTCTCTGATAATGCACTTCAAATTTTACCTCTTTAACTTCCTTTTTTTGAAATTTTGTCACCAATTATTTGTCAATGTAGTCGATAATATAATATGATAATGCTAAATGTAATGATGATAAAAGTATAATATGATGCTGATAAATATAACGATATGATAAGGTAAATACGATAATAATATAATAAGTGATAATGAGGAAGAAGAACAATGTTGGTCCTAATAATGGGCATACTGATAATTTAATTATCATTCATTATGATAATTAGTTATTATTGATAGCAGATGACATCAATGATGATTTATCGCATAGTTATAATTCAGAAATGATTCTAAAGCAAATGAAAAATTATATGGTTACCAGGAACGATTTTCTCATTGGCATACGTCAGAAATGGAAATACTGTTCTTCTTAAATTTAGCAAATAAAAACTAATGGAAAATCCTGAAACTGAATGTCCTAGCAAACTAAAGAGAATGGTGACAATTCTATGGTCTTCTTCCTTCTCCTCCTCCTCCTCCTCTTCCTCCTCCTCGTCCTCTTCATCCTTCTTCCTTTCATTTGCTCAACTCATCGCCACGTTCCCACCGGAAAAACCAGTTTCAAACTACTCAATGGAATTTCCCGTCCTTATGTACCACCATCCATCCTAACAACATTTCCAATCTCCCTAAATATTTCTGGTAATTGTTTGAAATGAATGGACAATCACTTTCAAACAGGTCAAGCACTCTTCCATTTCCGAGATATCAGAAATTAGAAACGACTGATTCTTGTTTCCTTATTGATCTAACAACTTGTCATCATATTTCCTTTTTACTTTTGTTAATAACCCCAATGTAGTATAAGTTATTATTCATTTAGCTACTGCTACTTCTCACTGGAATTTGGTAACGGATCATCTAATATTATATATGTAAGAAAAAGCAGTTGACATAAACTATAATGGCATCCCAGAAAAATTCGGAATTCATTTCATCTCCTAATTTAGTGATAAGGAAGATTGAATCATTGCATATTGTAAAATGCTAAGATTGATTATCATCTATAATACGCATTGTCGTTAATGATTAAGCTATTTTAAGCTACTATCATTTGTTGATATGTTCGTTTTATAGTTTTGCTGAAAAATGGATGATAATAAAGAATAATTGATTTAATACCACGACTCGCTGAATTAACTGGTCATTAGTAAATTTCAATTAGTTGTCATTAAGTTTGGTCATTCGTCCCGCAAAACAATTTCTCAATTTTCGGCAAATGATCAAACTTCTAAATTAAAGTCATCAAATGGAATGTGCATCCCGAGATGTTAGCGAATTTAAGAACAATTATGTTGTTGGATAGGCGACATAAGCATGCATTTGTGCACATTTCATCTTTCATCGATTTCAAAAAAAAAGAAAAAAGAAAAAAATATTTCTATTAATTGACTGTGTATATCTTAATACTACTTTATACTACTTCCTATACATCCCTTCTCTTTCAGTTTAAATTTCATTTTAACTCATTTCAGGAATCGTTGATAACCAAATTTTGTTAAGTTAATTTAAATTTCACTCTATGTCTATTTTACTATTTTATTGGTTTAATCGATTTCACCCTCTTTCCCTGCTCCTTATCGTGCATAATTGAATATTTGAGCGTTAAATGATTTAATAAATGACAAATTTGATCGAAATGGTCTTGATGAAATTGGAAATGAAATCAAAGTTAGTGAAGAATAAGGTCAGAGGACTGGAAGTATAACAAGAGGGTGGTAAATTAGAGGGATGAGAGTGATGAATTTGTTACAAATTATTCATGGATGGTAATCACTGAAATGAGTAGAAGCAATGTAGAGTAGAACTTTGATGAAAAGATCATTTGATAGCATTCAAATAGTTTGAACTGGTCATCAATCAAGTAATTAGCGCTGTAAGTTACGAATGAAATTGCTTACAGATTCTTTTTATAACAAATAATTTACTAATCTATTACCAGCCATTTTTAAAACCAGTTATTTCCATTTTCCACTTAAACTCAGTTATTTGTTGAATGAGCAAATTTAAATATCCGAACTTCAATTTTAATATAAAGTTGAAAATTTTAAATTTTGACCCACCAGCTTAATTTTTCCAGTATGTTTACTCGAAATATTTCAGCAAGAGCTGTTTGAAAGATGAAATTTTTGTCTACATATATTATTCGCTCCGACTTTCTTGATCTAAGCTGGTTGAATACTTATCCTCTTCCAGAATATCTACCTCATTTGTTCTCATCAAGAGGAGTTTTTGCGAAATAATCGAATCACCCCTTTATCAGTTATTCTTTTATCTTTCACTTCCAAAACACTAATTGATTTACATTAATTGGCATCTTTTTCCTCGTTATTCTTACCTATACAGAACTTCTTCACTTCAAATGCTTGAAATTTAATGATTTAATAAACTCACTCAAATTATCTAATTGTTATTGAGTCATTACTGTCACATCCTTTCAACTTTACTAAACTTTACTTTCGAGCTGTGTTGAAAAAGCTAATATTCGAAGAAAAAGATGAAATATTCTATGATCGATTCAGAAATGCAATATATTGTAAATCTCAACAGGCTTGCATAAAATTAGCCAAAAGAACATAAAAAAGCAATGTGTAAAAATATCTGATGGAAGTGTATGTTTGGGAAAATGTTTTGATTGTCAATGGCTGATGATTCTCAATTACTTGGCTTGTTAATGATTGGCCAAGAGATCTTTATTTTATATCAGATAGAATGTGGATGGATTCTTTGAATCAGTACATTTTGTGACACACTTTTCAATTTGAGATCAAAATTTTACTTTGATATTTGATTAAGTTTTGATGTAATGATCAAGCTATGCTTCTTTTGATCAGGCCTGTCTTTTAATTTGCATAAAAGGAATTTCATCTCATCCACCTTCCTTAGGTCTCCTTTTTCTTTCTTCCGTAATTTTAAGCATTCAATATGAATTTACCCTTTAGGCAATTATTTTCTTTTTTTGAACATTTTATCTTAAAAATAGACGAAGTTTTTCAACAAAGTGATGTGCACCTATAAATACTAAATTGAAAGATTTCAAAAAATTTCTTCTCTAATGAGTTACATGTTAATGAATTCCATTTATTTTATTATTATCATGGAAATCACCGATTCGTATCGCTATCACAGAAATCATTCATTCATATCATTTATCACAGAAATCATTCATTCATGTCACTTATCATAAAAATCATTCTTCACGATACTGTCTCAAAAATCAGCCATTTTTTCCCTTTTATATTTTAATTTGGTTCTTTTTTTAAATTTGTGATATTAATGTTCCATCGTTACTGCTTTTCATTTATTTTCACAAAGAAAAAAACAATATTCAATTTCATTTCAATTTTTTCGAATTCTCGATGGTAAAAAGGTCATTTTTGGTGAAGTCTCCGAGCATTCATGAAATTTCTTTACATTCGTTTAAATCTTATGGATACTGTACGTTGTCAATCTAATTGAAAAAACTGATTACAAGCATCATTTATGTCAATTTCATCAATTTATGTTCAATTTTTCATTTTTCATCATTCACTAAAAGTATTTCAATTTCCCAAACATTCTTTTTTATTTTTTCCTTTTTCAAAATATAACTCTATGAAATGTAAATGAATAGCGAAGAAAATTATTACGTTGAACATCAAATTTGTGAAATTTAAGTTCAATTCAAAATATATGAATGCTACCATTCCTTTTCAACTTTTTCCTAATTTCTCTTTATACTATCTTCTTTTTTTCGAAAAATAAAATAAGCAATAGATTACATTTGCATGTTTCTTCACATTTTCCTTTCGATCCTTAAATAATAATCGATTGAAATTTTGTTTTTGTTCTTGTTTTTTTTCTTTTTTAACGTATGAAAAGGTTAGTATCATTGAAACATTCATTGATGAAACAAAACATATTCCGCTAAGAAACGATTTGATATTGATTGTTGACAGAAATTTTTGCTGTACAAATATGCTATTTAGATGTGGTGAAGAGTTGCGAATATTTTGTCGGTGAAAGTAAATAAAAGAAAATTGGAAGATTTGATGACACAACAGTGATGAAGCTAAAATGACAACGACATCTTCCAGTATTTCTTGAAATTTAACAAAGTAGGAACGATTCAACCAATTCCAACAATACACTGCGCTAATTTCTTACTTTTTTTTGCGAAGGAAATCTTCGAGAAGATACGATAGTAGGATGGATAAAAAGACGGTGAGTTTCAATAGATTATAATCAAATATTTATTGATGATAATAATTTCATTAAAATCATTAACAGCGACTAATCAATATTTGATTATTTGCAAAGTTTTTTCTTTTTCTTTTCTAAATGTTGGTCATAAAAATATATTTGAGGAATCTTATACTGTGGTAAACAATTCAACTTGGGTGGTATGATTTGGCATAATTAATATATAGTATACCAGGTATAGTATCAAAATCACAGGTAATTATACACGGGTGCAATTTACAATCCTAGATAATTACAGTAATCATGATTAACGATTCAATTTATTTCGCAATTTAGTGCCTTTTGAAATTGCTTTTCAATCATTGAAACAGATTGATCCTTTCAATGTTTGGCGAAAACAGAATTTGTTCTAAATATGAGAGCAAAGAATACCTTAATTGTTTACAAAAGATTAGATCACATTATGCATGAAAGACGAATTTTAATGTTCCATTCGAATAATCCGATGAAAATTGAGTCGATCTTTGTTGTTTGAGTTTTGAGTTTATCTTATGTCACATATTTGGAATGACATTGGATCTGATCCATGGTAATCAATGACTTCCCTGCTGACATGCCAACACATTTCCTGCCATTTTTCCTGATCATTATAAATTTTACAATTTAATGTAAAATTTAAGGCAATTTAATAGAAAAGTAAAGTTTAGGAAATGGAAATAATTCAAATGAAAAACTTGCGCAAACATTACTTATTGCTTGCATAACTTTATCACATTCCTTCAAAACTCCATTTGTAATGGAGGATCTGCAGTTGTTCGAAATTTTTCTTTTTTTTCTAAAAATTGATCCACGATGCACTTTTACAGATATATATATATATACATACATACATACATACATACATACATACATACATGCATACATACATATTACACATACACACGCATATATATATATATCGATAGTAACGGAACCGTTGAAAAAAAGCGTAGGAAATGATCACATAGGTTGATGTAATCCATCAAAATAGTATGAAAAAACGGGAAGTGTTGTTGAAGTTGTAAGTGTAGATTTGGCTGATGTTTTGAAATGTAATCATTTTAAATCATTTCAATCAATAAGTACGAAAAAGTTAACCTTTCTAGTTCCATTTCCAATCTGACATCTATAAATTTTACTTAATTCCTGTCTATTAGACCATTTTCATTCTAAAACTCAAATCATTGTGGCCACAGTAAATACTACCATTCTCAGATATTCCTGCTCCTTCTGTTCATCACTGATCATTTTGAATAAATCCCAATATTCTTAATTCAACTTTTCGGCATTCCGATGTAACGAATTACTTGAACGGAACAATCGTTTGTCATATTCTATTTATCGCTATCGAAAACTCTCTACGACATTGATAGCGGTGAATAACAGCGTCAAAGTATTGGACAAGGATAATTCAAAATTTAAGTCCAATTTCAATCTTCTGCCTTCCTCAGAAGCTAATCTGAATCATCTAAAAATGTTGATGTTTTTGAATTATCAAAGTTCTTTTGATATTTCATTGAGATATTATCATCATACATTGGTATAATCACGATCTTTTTCAATTACTATCACTATCAAGATAAGCCATTGAGATTTCTGCAATATTGTCATCCAAACTCTTGTCAACATCACTCTAATGAACTTTCATGATCAGCATCGTTTACCTTACAATTTCATGCATTGTACATTTTGTACTCTTTATTCCAATGGATATGTAGAGCTGCAGGAATATGCAAAACAACAAGAAGTGAAACATCGTCGTAAAATCATTCTTCCTTGCGTCATTCCATGGGAATATGGATCCAACAAATATGCTAGTCAAAAAGGTACCGGCGGTTTTGGTACCATTCGAAATGCCAGTAAGTTTCATTTTAATTTTATAATTTCACAAAATAAATTCTAAAAATTTAATAATACCCATTTTTTAAAAGATCAAACAGTGATTTACCACTACTATAATCAGTTTAAACTGAAGCATTTCTCTTTCAAATTTTGATATCCGTTGGTAGGACAATGATAAGTAGACCAGTGAAGTGATTATTTCAAGCGGAATTTTTAGTGTGCTATGGCGATGGTTGAAGATTTCTTGAATATTAAATCAATTTAAATTTATTTGTTGTTCAATTAAATGTCACAATACAATGAATCAAATGTGCATATCATTTTTTTCAATTCTTAAATTGCCAACTTTTTAAAGTATAATTCACTCTAATCATTTGAAAATTATCAGTTATCAGATTTCACTGTAATAGTAATAATATTTAAACGGTGCTGTTGTTTGCTTAAAAGGAAAAAGAAAAACTGCATATTATTATGTTGTTTACATGAGGAGGTTAATTTAAAGTTCCTGTAAATCAATTCTCTTAAGAAGAGTGCCGGGAATTTCTCGAAGATTCTTGAAGTCATTGCAATTCGGTGTATTGTAAGTAATTATGTTGTAAATATCCAAGTATTAGACTTCATGTATAGAATCTTTTGGTTTGAGAAATGGATAAACATACTACTGACATTATTTAATCCATAAATTATCAAAAAATAGACTACTAAAAACGAGAGGTCATGATTGTCAGTTTCTGTTTTGGATGTTCCAGACATAACCAATCCATTATAATTATGAGGGAGTAAATGATTAAGTGGACAACTGACCATGCTGGATGACTAAGAAATAATAAAACGGACCGATGATAATGTAACTCATAATAAGGAATAGTTAAGAGAATGCTCATTACATTGAAACATCCTATTCAAATTTTGGAAAGCATTTTTTTAATTTCATTTTTTTTAGTTTTTATTTATTTTTTGTTCTGCAAAAACAAATTTTTGCAATTTTTACAAAGGAAAAAGAAAGGGACTGGATGATTTTTGTAATAAAAAAGCTTTAAGAATGATGACATCTTTTTGACCTTATATTTTAGAAGTTTCACAAAAGATTTTATCGAATATAAGTTTCAAATATGAAATTCATTTCCAATGTTTGTTTTATTTTTTCGAGTATTAAAAAAAAGGACTTTTTTCGTGAAAAAATTGCTTATTTGGCGGATAACTTTAATGATCAGAATTATTTTAATTTAATTCAGGGACAGGAATGCTGTCTCCATAAGTCACAGGTTTTCTCAAATAACATCTTGATCTTTGACCTAGAAACAGGACAAAATTGGTGATTTTTTTTTCATTTTTTACAGCAACACCAATCAAATGTAGCAAACAATTAAGCGAAAGTAATGATGGTGTAGTACCATGGATGAATTGTCCCCAGTTACGAGATAAAGAACTTGCATCTCAAGCAGGCCTAACACCATTTGGCGGAATTCGAGAACATGCCATCAAAGTACTGGATAAGGTAACTAATCACCAGAAGGCTTTCTATCATCTCTTAGTCTATCATTAATGTTAATGATTTCACTAGGCTTCCATTTCCTAGTCTATTATTAATGACAATTCATCATCAATTTCGGATATGAATGATCCCACCTACTAATTTTCTCTTTCTTTCGAAGAAGAATGCCAAAATTTCTCCAATATTTCATCTTTTCTTTTATTGCTTTTTATAAGAAGCTTAGTTATAAATGACACGTTTTCTTGTACGATTCAGATCTTTCGCTGCAAAACTAATCAAAATTTGAAGGTTTCCTAATTAATGAAATTCATTTCCGACGGATGCTTTGTAATTTATATCACTCAAAATGAAAATCGTGTCATCAAACATGATGGCTTAGTTAGCATCAATAGTATTGAACAGATGATGATGATGTTGAACTGATTGATTAATTAATTAATCAATTGATTGATTAATCGAAAAACGTGAAATATCGCTATTTATTTAATCAATTTGAAAATTAAATGAAATGCGAAGTGATAGGATTCAGAAGCATAGTAAAATAAATGACTGGGATCATCTCTTGATCGGATAACCAGATCAAACATATACGGTGATCTGTTCACTGCAAATTAACGAATTACGATCTACTCTTCTACAGTTCCATTTTCAACTAATTCGTCGGACAAATTGTGCTTTAAAAATTAAATTTACTTGAAGTTGCAATTAATTCAGTAGTTTTATGACAATTCCGCAAAGAAAGTCTATTTTAGGAGGGTGAAAAGAAGAAAGATATCAATAAAATTGTTGGTGATCAGACTAGCGAAAGTATATTAAAGATTTGGTCACAAGCAAATCCTGATGCTAAAAATGGTCAGCTATTCGGTAAGTGTCAAGATTAATACGATAACGGAGGAAGCGGGGAAGTAGGAAGAAAAGAATGAGAGAGAAAAAGAGAGGAGTTGATTTTATGAAATTAAATTAATCATCACCTCAAATCTTGCTATCTGATTAAATTTTTAATTTTTAATTATAAAAATGTTTAGGGAAACATCGAGATGCTGTGATGGAAGTGAAAGGCGGTCGACAATTTAGTCAAAAAGAATTAAATGCAAGTCGAGCCGCTATCCCAAAATTTCAGGATCCACGTGAAACACTAGCAGCTAAAGCAAAAAAGGCTGATGGTGTAAGTATTTTTGTTTTTGATATCAAAGGTTAGATGAAGAATTGTTGAAGTAGTCATGCCGTGCTATAATTTTACTCCTAAAGTATAGCAAAAGGCATGGTTTCAGCTTGGAGAAATGTAATAAATCATAACTTTGGTAAGAACTGAAAGTTAGGGCTCATTAGAACTCAGCATTCACTTTTAATTTGCTTTTAGATTCGTTCTAACGGGTCAATCACTAACAGACAAGAAGTAGCCAAGCAAATTAAAAGTGGGAAAGGGACTGAAGATGATATCCTGGATACACATTATATGGCTTGGATTGGTGGACAGGTCAGTTGATTTGATTTCTTATTTACTTTCAAATAACATGGTTGCTCTCTAATATTTATGTAAAAAAGAAGGTACTATTCAAAAATTATATCACTTATGATGCTAATTTTCAGTTAACTCTACAATCACAGTCACCTTCAGATGACTTCCAAAAGTCTCGCGACATCGTCTCTAGATCATATTTTGACCAGGTAATGAGTGAGAGGGAATATATGATCAAGAAAGCAAAAGAAGATAAAGTACGACGTCAAGAAAACAGGGGAAAAGGAAAGGTGAAAGGTAAATTTGAAATCGATGGAAAAGAAAAGTGAGTCAAAGAAGCAGAAATAATGAAATGATGGAAGAAAATCAATTGTGATACGGAATTGCAGAATACTGATAATGTTTCTGATAAATAAGACCATTTTATCACTAACAGTTATCGGAAGACGAATCATCAAAAAAGATTATGGATTAATTGATAAGGGATGATTAGAGATTTAACTCATTCAAAATGTTCCGATGTTTTGGAAGTATTGCAAGAAAGATTTAGCTTTATTATTGATATTAATTAGTTAAATTGGAGTTGTTGTTTCTGAGCATTCAATTTCGTAATTTTCCTTTTCCAATGCGCATATTGTTTGTTTTCTTTCTTTTTTACACCTATTAGCTTAATTATAAGGCCAACAAAAGTGGCCTTATTGTCATCTTTGTACATCAATTTGTCATCAGTTCTTTAGCATTTCTTTCAATCAATCAATCACATATACCGCTCACAATTATATGTAAAAGTATTGAGCCTTTTTTGTGGACATCAGATGAAATTCGATTTCAAACAGAATTATTGCGCTCTGTCATCTTTCTTCTTTGTATATAATTTTAATTGTTTATTTTAATGCAAACAATTACATTAAAAAAATTGAAAGTATTGTAAGTTTTTGTTGCATTTACATTCATTGTTCTACGCTTTACAATATATTCAAATTTATCACTTCGTCATAGGGCAATAAATTAATGAATAACAGGAAATTATAAATTAAAATAAATTCTAATTGAAATCAAAAAGCATTCAGTTCATTTCAATTCCATTTCTTCCGATATTGCCATAATTCGACTTGAACATTGTAAATTAAAGAAAAATGATTCGTGATTCAAATTAAAATTAACTGTTAACCAAACTAAAACAATGTCACAACAAAGTGGTGACAGTCTGGGATAAAATTAATTACATTCATGTGATACACGTACATCTTTGACGTGTCTGTTCAACAGAACTAATTTACTAAATAACCGAACATTGGCAATGTTCCTGATAAACTCTTACTTTATTTTTTTTATTCTTTTTTTCATATTTTTCTTTTGCGAAATAATTTATAGAGTTATTTCTCGCGAAGTTTCTTTTTTTGGCCATGGTTTTTCTTTTTTTTTGTATCAACGAGAGTTATGGTAGTTCATACATCAGTATGGTAGTTCAAATAAATCAATAATAGTTTGAGCATATAGGTAGATTTCAGCGCCTCATTTTCTCAACCACTATTTTTTCCAAAAGATAATTGCATTTTATTCTTTTCTACATCCCGCATATATTTAAAACCAAATTCCTCAAAAAAAAATATTTCGAATTTATCAAACGAAAATTTAGGCTCTTTTTTAAAACTTTTTTTTCTTTTCTATCTTCTAATAGTGTTTAGCATTCAATGTTATCATATACCTTTTACTGGTTTGATATCATTAGGTTTACTAAGTGATTCCTCATATTTGTGGCCAAGTTTTGTAAAAGTATCACTGAGGGAAATCATTTGGTAACCAAAAATTAATGATATTTTTAAAATTCACCGTTTAATCTATAATAACATATTTGTTTTTGAGCTTGTTGTGAAATAGAACAGCTGTCTTTTAGCTGTCAATGATAAAAGATAATAGAAATTGCAGTGAAACTACGTCATCAATTTTATCAATCACTTTTAACATTAAAATTGCAATTTTTTTAAGCATACACTTATGGATAGAAGTGAGCATTTGTGCTATCAATTATCTATGTTAAGATAAGAAAAGCAATTGAATTCATTTATTAACCAAATGATATGATGTTAAGTTATCACAATCTCTACGCCAATGTCATTTATCTTTGTCCAAATATTATTCGTTCTTCAACTATTTGTTCATTATTGGAATAGAATTTACTGAACGAATAAACAAAAGTTAGTTTTCATAAATTAAAGTAACAGCTGTAATTTTCATTTCCATTTCCATGTGAAAGTTTTATTTGTTTCTAATTAAGCGTATGAGGAAGAGATAATCGTAAAATAGACCGGTATATCTTGTAACCCTCAGAAACTCTGCTTTTGACATTATTTTCCTGTGAGACACCTGAGGGCTCACTCATTAATTTTTTTAGAGTTTTAAGATATATCGGTCCATTTTACAGCTACCTCTCCTTGATTTCTACCACCCATTAATTTAGTGAATTACTAATTAAAGTGAATTTACATCTAATTTGCATGTTTGCAGTGATTGATAATAGTTTACCATCTGCATCAGATGACCATGACTGCTTGCACTTTATTTTCGAACAAAATTTTTGCTTATAACAAATGTTAATCCAAAGTATGGGTCAACATTAAAAAAAAGAATGGTTCAAATTTGGATCATTGAATTGTTTTGCTTACATTCAAACATAACAAGCAATTTTACAGGACAATGGTCATTGCCACATGGTATGTGTCATTCCTATATTTGATTGCAATTTTATCTGTTATCCTTCATGGAACAGAAAAAGTGCGAAGTATCAACGTGACAGGTATACCAGCTGGTGCTAGGTATCCAAAATTGCAAGGTATATTCATTTCTTTGGTTCATTTTTCATCTAATTTAGAATTAACTGATATTTATTTATTTGTAAAATCTAGAATTTCTGGTGCTGGACAGTGAAATTGTAAATATGGTGAATGAACTTCGACAATACGATATCAATCAACTTGACGATGACCAAATAATTCTGGATTATCAGGAACATACGACAACTCGTGATTCCAGTGATAAAGCCAAGAGAAGGTATCACTAACTTGATAATTTAACAGAAAATTTTTCAAAGAAAAGAAATGAGATGACGAAGTGTAGAAGAACACTTCTTCACTTTAAATATCTTGAATATTAACTTTAATGAATTTCATCATTAATTATGAAAATTAATAATGAATATTACTAATCACATCTCTTTACTACTATTTGATTTACTGTTCTTTATCATTACTGATTTCCATTGTATTTGTTAGTTTGGATGATGAAATTCTTTATGGGATCATAATTTATGATAACAGTATATATATATCGTCCCTCTTCAACTTCTGAACTAATTACGGGCATTATTTTGGTAAAGTTTAAATATCTAAACAAAAAAAATATCCCTGATATAATTGCTTAATGAGGATAAATTATTTTTGTTTGAAATTTGTCAGTTCGTTAACTCTACAGTTAGTTAATTAAAATTTTGATAATGATCATTTTTTTAGGCTATTCAAATGGGTAGATCCCAATGCATTAAACAAGAATACATTCAGGAAATGGATTGCTCTGAGTAATGAATATCAACCAGAAGTTGGCATTCAAGAGAAAAATACTCCAAAGGCATTAATTTTGCTTTTTTCAATTTTAGCTCTTTATATGAACTTTTTCCATTCAATCAAAATAAAGGAAAAAAAGAGGAAAAATAAATTTATTAAAATTTAAAAAATATATAAGCATACAATTTAAATGACATTTCTCATAAAGTTTGATGATATAACAAATTGGATTTTATTATAAATTCTATGATTAATTGCTTTCAAAATGATATTTCCAGAAGAAAAAGGCCATTGATGATTATCTTGATGCGATCCTTAACACTACAATATGGAAAAGCCTTCATCAGTTTCTACTGAAAAAAGGTCAAACATATTTAAAAATATTTCAAAATTCAGCAAAGTATCATTCATCTGTTTTGTTCCACTAATCTTCAAATGAAACCAATCCTTGAAATTTGAAATTTTATAATTTGTATTCTGCAAACTCAAAGAATCGTTGTGAAGTACTAAATGCCTTTTTAAATTTCGAATAAATTTTTTAGTGTGAAAAGTAATGGAATGATAATTACGAAGATTTATTTCAAGATTATCCATATTCAAGCGACTTGCGAACATTCCGTGCTTGGATTAAACAATTATGGTTTGGGGAATATTCACGGAAACAAGGTCTCATTGATTCATCCGGATTCGAGCATGTCTTCATGGGAGAGGTGTTTATTATTAATTATCAGTCCTACATTAAAATTTTGCTTTTGAAATTCGATAAATTTAAAAATTTCCTATCAACACAATTTTGTCATTTGTTACACATTGCAATCCGTTTTTTATTGATAACGTCAAGTCTAGTTATACAGCAAACTCTGGAAAGAGAATTTCGTTATCATTATCAATCATTCTATTTAATCCTACCTAATCCGGCTAATTATCATTATACCGACCATATGTTCGCTTTTTTCTATTTCCAGAAAAGTTTTTAACAGTAATTGAAAAATTCAGCACAAAAATGGGGAAGTGATTGGAATGCATTCATGGCTGCGATTTTATTTACTAGAGCGGAATGCTTCACAACAATTTGATTATCATGGATACACCCTTAGACGATTTGTTAGTTGCGTCACTTATTTGGATAATATGGGTAAAGGCGGTGCTGATAATGAAGAACAGCTTGTTACTTGATGATAAGACATTTGACTTGATAAGATAGATTGATACCAAATATATGTATCAGTACTGTCTTATCAAATCAGATTATTTTTTTCACTTTTTTATCTGGCAAAATTAATTTCAAAAGTGTGGTTATTAAATTAATTAAGAAATTCATTATTCATCTAGATATATAAAATTGAATTTTAAATGTAATTACTTTAGTAAAAACAGATCAGTTGAATTCTTCTCCTTTGGTCGTTGCGCATCGAGTAAATGTTGTATTAATAAGGGCAGTGATTAATTGAATTAATTCAAAGGATGATTGAAATTCTCTTCTTTTCAGAATATTATGGCTGCAGTGAAATTCAGCTGGCGCAAATATCTTAAGCGGACTGGTTCATTTTTCATAGGCACAAGTCCAGAATTTGATCTAGCACTTTATACTCTATGCTTTCTCACACGACGATCACATAACACTTGCAAGGTAAGTTTAATAATTTAGAAAATTCTTTATATGGTTTTAATTTTTCCAAATAATTAGCATTATTAAGTGATTTGTGACAAATATTTAACCAGCAATGGGTTGTGACATTGCTTAAGGTTTCATTGATGGATTAAATTAAAGTTTGGCATCATTTTCAGTTCCAATTAGACGAATGCCCATTCGTCATCACCAGTTACAATTTAATGCAGGAAGGCAAAAATTTTGTTGGAACAGTTTATCCAATTTCTGGGCCACTTACTGATAAATGCCGACAGTATAATAGTCGAATACGGTAAAAGAGAAAATAAATCGAAAATTTAGGCTATGCTAATATTCCGATGTTAAATCCGTTTTTCCAAAGGTAGTTTGATTAACCATATTTTGAATATTTCCGGAGACAATGAATTTGATTGTTAAAAATGGTACTAATTGAATGTGTTGAATTCATCCGGAAATTTTGAAGCTAATTAAGATCACAGTGCTATCTGAGAGGAAATTATTTGAATTATTGAATCAGTATGTTGTGTTAAATACAATGGTACTATTTTAAGTTATCTTTAATGTGTATATTACCGAAAAAGTCCATCAATTTTGTTTTAATAAATTCCGGTATTAAATATTCAAACATTTATTGGACAAAAGTAAAACAAAATACTGAAATGATCAAGGAGAAAACTTCCATTGTATCAAATTGATGTACTGTAATCTTTGATTTCATATTGATAATGAATTACTAGAAATGTTCAAATTTCAATAAAATTCTTAGTAATCCACAATTTTCTTTCTTTCAAGCCACTAACCAACCATTCATAAATTCACTATTTAATTAAAGAGCCTAAGAATAGTAACATGATTGGTTTAGTTTTGGGTATGTCTATTAGACAGATTCTATTGGTAATAGCTAGATTAATGTAGTCTGGGTGGCAGTCAACTATCCCGCTTTTTTTTTTTGAAGGGGAAAGATAACAAAAAAAAATCGATAATTTGCGGATAGAAATATTTTCATGTCACTTTCGGCATAGGAATTATTTTGCTTAAAAGAATTTAACAGCTGTACTTAGTGAATTCAATGATAGTACTTACTGGTGAAGAAGTCCATTTGCGGTCCAGAAGTCCATTCTTGTCCCATTTGCGCATTCATCCCACAATAAGCATTTTGTTGTTTCAACCAGCAATACACTCTATCAGTTTATTTTTAATCATTTTCGATAATTTGTTTTAAATTTGCGATGTAAGAATCGATGAGAAATATCTCTCTGATATTCGACATCATTGATCATCGCTTTAGAAGCCATAGTGACAGCTAATTTACCTTTGCAGGTACATATTCAACAACATGTATCTTTTCTAATATTCTGAGCAGCATACTCACACAAGTACGCATGTTCACTACAATGGAAATGGCTATTCTAGACATCATAGAATTACATATATATATATATATATATATATATGTCCCAGAAGCTTTGGACTTTACTGAGATATCAAAAGTGGATTTTATGAATGACTAGTGTTAGTGAAATGGTCGTGAAATTAAACGGATTAAAACAAACTGATTTGGTATACAGGCAAAACTCCGTAATGTTTTTGTAATTTTATCAATGACTTTCTGAATCTTCCTCAGTTAACTGTTTTTTCTTTCTTTAACTCGAAAAAAATCAAGAAATGGAGCGAATATCGGAACGAGTTAATTTATATATGACCGGGAGTATCGATACACGTGCAAAATTAGGCAGCAATCTTGGCTTAGGTTAAATTAACGGATGACTACAGAGCATAGGTAACGGCAATGTTACCGTAAAAAACCGTACTGAGGATATACGTTTTCTTGCATATTCCCTATCGGTCCTACTCTCTCAACTTTACTAACTTTAATTTTCTGATAGGATTCCTACCAATACTATACTATTGTCAGTCTGGACTGATATAGCATGTATTCTTTTATTCCTGTACTGATATGGGATGCATGATATCACTTCTGCACTGATATAGGACATATCCAATCAGTCCGGTACCGATTGAAATGTTTAGTAGTAAATTGATTCTTGGTTTGCTTATTCTTGCATTAAAAAAAAAAAATTAATAATATTTCTAATGCATTTAATTAACCTTTACGAAATATTTTCATTTTATTGATGAAATTTCAATCCAAAAAATAAGTACACTTCTTTTTGTTTGCTTTCACGTTCATCTTTTTTTTTTTTCTATCGTGAACTGTATGAGAGAACATATACTAGAGACAGTTGCGACAGGATGCGACAATGTTGACAGTTCAGTGATACGTCTGGATAATATACTTCACAAACTATTATACGAAAAAATTTGTTAAACTTTTGTCAAAATGCTTTTTGATCATTCGGATTGTAGCTAAATAGAACAGATCAATCCATAAAGTTATTCGAACAATAGACAGAACGATTTTTAAAAGCAATGAAAATTGGAAAATATTAAAGTTGATGCAGTAATAAGTGTACTGAAAAAGCAAGGAATTGAAATTATTAAAGAGTTGACGATAATACAATTGTCATCTTATTGTCACAATGAAAATATATTTGTCCATTATCGTTACGAACGACCCCTTTTCTCCAATTATCCTTGATTGGATTAGAAACCCGTTTTTCATATCTTTCTCTCTCCTTGTGTCCGTCTCTGTTTCTTTCTCTTTCTCCCTCTATCTCACTTTTTTCTTTTTTCCTGCCACCCAAAATAGACATTTATTGTCACCTGCACAATTCAATTTTCATCTCAACTTTGCCGACTTTTATTTTTTTATTTTTTGCTAAAAATTATTCGAATAAATTAATTATTCGTAGTTTTTGATAAAAAAATGTTTTTGTTTATTTGTTTATCGTTTATTGGTTGGAAATTTATTTGAACCACTATCTGACCGTTCAATAAACAAGAAGGGAACTACGTGATGACTGAATAGGAATGAATCATATTTCCGGAAATTTCTCCGAAGTCCGAATAACGCTACTGTTTGTTACATTGAATAGATGAAATCAATTGATCGGAATAAAAAGAAAATCGATCGAAACCATTATTCTAAAAACCGGCGTGATGTGGTATGACAATTGATACTACCGAGGACAAATTGTACCATGACCTTGTTCACTTTGAGGCGTACTCTGTTGGATGACCTCGAAAATAATAATGTCATCCTTTTAGATCGTTTAATAAAAGTAATAAAAGCTTCTTCAAATTTTTTTTGGATTTCGTCAACTTTCTTAACTTTCGAAAGTAAAAATTGTTAACAGTTTCATTTCATAATCATCTGATGGACAATCACGCTTCTTCTTTCTTAGTCCGTTGTTGCTATTATCCTTCTGAAGCAGCAATTTCTGAAGCGAGAAATTTTGAATCTGAAAGTAGCAGTTTGATAATTAAAATAATGATTATTCATGAATGGATGTGTTAATTGCTCATCTCGGATGATTTACAAGTTCTCCTAAAAATCACAATTGGGAAAGAATCAGATCAAATTTCTACTCGATGTCACTAATTGTTATAATTACATTAGTTATTGATTATCAGCAATATAGTTTGTCGTATCACTAAGTACATCGGTTATCGCTATCATTTTTATTTTACATCATTACGATTGATTAATTATTGTTATTGTTAATTATTACGATGATCGTTACTATTATTGCTACCTTCATTATCTTCAATTGCTTCCGTCACTAACATTACTATGATTCCTTCTGTTTTGACAACAATTTTGTATGGCATAAAACAAAAAGTGATAACTTATTTTCGGGAAAGTTTTATTAAACTTGAAAGATCTCATATTACGGCCCCAAATTAAGCATTTTTAATGAATCGCTTTGGTTGATGCAACATGTTACGCAACTGCTTTTATCCCATATCTGCTATCTTCATACTACCTGTGGTTGTATATGGTGATAAGCTTACTGATATCAAAAAAGATGCAAAACGACAAGGTTTGCTGTGCACAACTTTCCATTAAATTTTAATCCTAACCATACAAAATATTTATTTTAATCCTAAGCATACAAATTTGAAATAAATTAAATCCTTTGATTCGAATTTCAGATTTGTAAGATTTTTATAATATAACTTATTGAATTAACATTCAGTATTTTGATTTTTTTAGCAAATTTCACATCATCGGAATGAAAGAATGGATTTCTTTCGAAATTTCAAAATTCGATTGAAATTTCTTTATTCGACAAATTAAGTTATTTAATAATTATTTTCAAAAGAAAAAAAAGCAGAAAACTTTTTAGTGTCATTGAATGACATAATCCAGGGAGCCTTGAACTTTGTCCGACCAATTATCAGCGCATCAGAACCACTGCAGTCAGATTTGATGATATCCAGAGAAGTTCTCTTTTCCTCATGCAAAATTTCAAATCATTACTTCTAAGTTTATTTCAGAAATGAAATCAAAAACTTGAAAAGCTTTCTGCAATAAATTTCGACCATTTTTCAGTTCCAATCAGAGCCGATGAGAGGAAGAGATGTCGAGATTCTTGGCTCTCCAAAGTATTCTGCTTTAGATGATATACCGATTTGCAAAAGTAATTCGAAAATGTGCAAATTTATCACCTGCAGTGCTCGAAACTTTCAAAATGATGAATCAATATCAAATTTGAATTTAGCTGCACAAATGCTAGCCGATACGAAATTACGGAAAACAATTGCCAGGTTAATTACTGAATTGAAATGAAATCACTCAGAATTCATTTTACTAATCCAATTCACATATTTCGTTGTTGGACAAGATTTGCAACAGATGAATGGATATTACCGCATGATGTTTTCTTATTTATTTATCATAGATAATCTCTGAGCAATTTGCGCTTAAAAAGATCTGAATTTCGATCTGAATCTAAATCGGAATGTTTTCATCCGTCGGTATTCATAGATCAAATATTCCGTTTTGAAAAAAACGTAAACTGCTCAGAAATCGTTCATGCAATATAAACAACGAGTATTTTTGGAATCGTTTTCCGGTGAATAACCAAATATCCATTTCACACTGAACTGATATTGCAGTGATCCAGGTATATTGTTAACAGTATGTCAAGAACAAGGACTTTCTCCGACACAATGCAAACTTTTTGCAAACGCTTTTCAACTTATCAATCGGTATTTTCCAAGTTTTACTTAAAAACTTTACGTTAAAAAAAGTTTATATTGGGGGGAGTTATTTGTTGTTTATCGCAATAATTTGAGAAAAGTTATTAAAATATTTTAGATTTATCTCAACTATTGAACCGCTGGAAGATTCCAAAAAGTTACATCGTTACATCATCAAGGATGATCCGTACTATGATGATTCGGATGCACCGCCAGTACCAGTACAACCGGGAGTGTACCAGAATGTTGGATCTCAAACATGGTCTACCAGTGGGAAGAGCATCAGTGATTCCAAATCGATGTCTCAGAAGATGCAACTCAAAGAAAAGACGAATCTATCAGGAGTATCAGCACTTTCACATCCTGTGAAAAGTTTACTGAATCCTTTAGACTTCCCAAATCTAAATATCGCTACTACAACATCGATACCTATGGGTTCAATGCTAACATCATCACCATCAACATCAATGACCTTATTTACTTTTCCACCACTAATTTTTACCCTCCCAACTCTAGCGACAGTTGCGCCAGTGATATCACATACAACACCACCGGCAGGTTTAAGACTAGACATGTCACAACCTGTGAATTTAATGGCAAAACAAATGCAAATGTTGTTGTCACATTTTGATAATAAGCTACTCTTACCGAACATAATGTCATTACCGTTACCAATACTAATGCATCCTGAGCAGTTTAAGCCAATGAGTTCGACACAATCAGTAAGAAAGAAGCGATCGAACGACTATTATGATAATATTGAGGAAGATAATGATGAGACGAGAAATACGGGTCCATCCATATATAGTGATAATAATCAGCAGGTGATTAAACTTCAGAAGAAGAAAATAGGTGGCAAGAGTTTATTTGATTGCGTGAAATATCTCAAGGATAGTTGAAGATTGTGTGAAAATGTAATTTACTCCAATAAAAAACATTATTACTATTATTTTGAATAATACAATTCGAGAGTGAAATTATAATTGAAACAGAAAAAAACAAAACAAAAGATTATTTATATTTTACAACTTCTTCAACAAGCAATTGATGATTGTTGGACGGATAATGTAACAATATTAATACTTTCAGTTATAAGTTAAACTTCACAGTATCTCTCTTTTTTTTGTTTCTTTATGATATTAGTTAGCATTTGAAATTATGATATTAATTGAGTAATAAATACTTTATTTAAAGTATACAAAAGTAAAAAAGAAATGGTAAATGGAAAAGTAAATAGAAATTGTACAAACATATATGCATGTATGCATGTTCTGAGTGAATTATTTACATAAATTTTGTCTTAATTAAAGATTGCATTTTTTTTGTACGACGGGTTTTTTCTTTTCTTTTTTTGAAGTAATCTACAGCCATTTTCCTCCGACTTTTTTTCTTCTTTTTGTATTCAATAACATGTTGTGATAAAATTTTCTGACAAAAATTAGTAATTATTGAAAGCTTAAATGGAATAAATAAACAATGAGATGTTTAATGTTTACACCAAATTAATTATGGATAATCGAAAGTAATAGCGAAAAAAGAACGAAATTGTTTGCTTTCATCATTTTCTCAAACTTTTTTAAATAATATCATGAATTAATATTGCATACAGAAAAAAGTTATCAGATTTTAAATCACTAATTAGTAATTAATCATTCCGACTTAAGTCTAAGTAGTATCTTTCGTTTGTTTACTTTCTTTTTTCAGGATAAAACGAAACCTCTCAAGCAGGTTTTTATCTGATCTCCTTTTTCTTCCCATTTTTCAATTCATGATCCATTCATTTCAATTTCATTTCATTTGGAGCTGTAAGAACATACACACAGAGAAAAAATAGCATTACTTTTCTTCTCCCACCGTATATTTCGTTTTCAAATTGATGTCTGTGAGAGGTTTCGTTTTATCCGAAATTTGAAATAATTTTCAGTCGATTCACCTTGAGAAATCTAATAATTGCTATGCATTATAACCAGTACAGAACCGGATTTCCCTTTCCAGTTATCAGCAAATCCGATATTTCAAATCATATATAGTGATTCCGTACTTCAGTCATTCTGCAGCCATATTCAAATGTTAATTTTTACTTAAATTAGTAATTGTCAATAACAATACATTTTGTTCCTTCACTTTATCCTTTTCATTTTAACCTGATTTTTATTTGTTTCTCAAAAACTTTTTACAATTTTATACACTTTGTAAATTTGGGACCGTTTTTAAACTTGCAAATCACGACAATTTGCGCTTCACATCACTCATCTGAAGGATAAACTTTTTAGGGGAATGGAAGTATTCAGTTATGATTGAAAGTTCCGAGTAAAATGAAGCGGAAAATTGGTAATGAAATCTTGAATGTACAATAATATTAGAACTAGTCTTATCAGTTTATCATCCGAATGTCTAATTAGTGATTTTCAGCAATCATATGCCGATGGCTTTTCAACTGCCGATGATTCATAATCAGGTTTAACAACAAAACACGATTGAAATAGAAATAGAAAGAAATCAGAACTTATCCTTCCTTTCTTTCTTTCTTTCCTTCTCTCTTAACTCTTTGCTCTCCTTCCCACTAAACTTTTTAGATGAATGAATGGTCGAGTTACTGGTTGACGATATGACATGATCATGCTACTAATGCTATTGCTATTACCTGTCCTGCTATGAATACTGTCAACGTCAACATAGTGAAATTTTTAATTTTTACATTCCTAATTATAATTTATATTGGTGAGCTTCACTGTACTGTGATATTTTCAACTGTTAATATAACACGATTCACGCGAAATTTCCGAATCCTCAATAATACCAACGGAATGTATACGCCAAAACAATTTGGCGTCCTTACAAGGCGGAAGTTTGCTGATGACAGAGTCGACATATGCGCATTGAAAAATTGTCAGCAAAACGATTTAATTACACAGAAAAATCGTGAATTGTTGAAAATTCGACAAGAAAATTCCGTGAAAAGTAAATTGTCAAATGAGCTGCCATTGCGAGGAATGAAAAGCGGTAAGATCAGATATTATTGCAGTATCAACTACATCATTTAATCTAAAAGATTATGCAATTTTATGGTACTACTAAAAACGAGTGAGTAATATTTGATGAAGTACATCGATTGCCCTGTCTTCTACAGTGATATCCCAACGATCCATATGATTTAGTTGAAGTTATTTGAAATTGAGTGATAAGTCTAACGATTTAAAGCTGAATAAAACTTTTAGTATGGAAAAGAAGGACCCGACAGATAAGAAACAAAAATAAAAAGTGCATAATTTGCAGATTAATTAAAATTATACTTTCAGTATAACTGGACATCTCACATTCTCAAATGTGGCTAGCACAATTAATTCTTTTTGACGCTAAATAAAATATCCTTCAAATTAGTTAAACCGATTACAATTAGACAACAGTAAACCAATAATCTTAGAATTTTGCTGACCGTGGGCTAAATATAACGAAGTTTGTTTTAGGAAACAACAAGCAATTGCCCTTCCAACTTTCATCACTGGTCCGAAGTGCTGCTGATATGTTAAACTTATTTCAAAGAATTGCTACCGAAGAACGGAATACTCAATATATTAAAGTTTCTGTTCCAGGCATTGCTAAATGAACATACATCTTTTTCTATAGATTTAAATTACAAAAACCCAAAATTCTATTGTTTCGAGATTTATTTTAGCGAATTACTCGAAGACAGCCTATGCAACAGTTACAACAGTTGCCAGCATTACGTGAATTTCAATCGGGAAAAAGATTGTTATCGACGAAGTCATTGGCAGCATCAAACTTCCGTGACATACCAATACCAAGTGTTGTACTAAAAGACAACCACCAAAGTATGATGTAGTTAATATAAAGTTGTAGCGTAAGAGTTACGTGCACAGTAATTCTAAAATCTCACGTCTGGTACCATATTAGAAGTGAGTTTCATTTAAGATATAAACGATTTACTCAAATTCAAATCGTTGAATCACTTTATTTTGATCAATGTGTTTCATCCTAATTTAGCCAATCCTATCTCACATTGAACGACGTCTGATTTAACCTCATTTTTCCTAAGTGTAAGAGTAAGAGTAATATCTTGGATATTATGACATTCTCGTAAGAACTGCTTTAAAGTTTGGATATCCGACCATTTTCATTATTGTAATAACTTGAACATGTAGAAATCTGAGGCTATAAACTTGCATGCATAACATTTTAACTTTAACAGTTTGTTATACTTCTAGAGTATTTCTTTCTTCATAATCTTATCTGTTTGGAAGTGGTACTAGACTTTTTCATCGTTCATTGATAACACTGATTAACATTGTACATAATTTACTAAATGACGTTTGAATTGCCTTCAAACTTTTCAAGGTAAGACAACAGCAGACGACACAGTATGGTCAGAACTACTATTTGGTCCTCGCGGTGTGTTGACAGCCGTTTTTCACATCCTTGATGATCGGCGTAAAATCACGACGAAAAAAAGAGATAGAACCGCGATCAGCAAAAATGGCAACAGTAACAGCCAAACAATTGATGCTTATCATCAATCAGATTTGTCACTACTACCTGATTTCTTGATTGATGGTCAGTTCTCCAATTTTCTTTCAATTACTACTGTATTTCAAATTTTTCCTTTTTTTTTTTAATGAGACCAGTGGCTGAAATAACTTCTTGTAAAATACAGTACGTACTTTTGTTCAATTGTTAGTTTTTGTTTAGCATTGCTGGAAATCGAGGAATTCTACTAAAGATTTTCTTTAAAAAAAAGAAAGCAGTATCACCGGAAACTACCAGAGGTGACGCTATAAAATTGTAGCAGAAATGACAAGAAATTGCTGAACTAATTCCCAGACAGAAGGAACTTCAGGATCTTGAAGGAATATTTCACGACATCCCAAAATCGATTTTAGACGTAATTCTACAAGACCTATCAAAGAGAACGAAACAAAATGTCAGAGCTTTTGGTCCCTTACATCTTGTACACAAGACACTGACAGCTGCTAAAATCTTCATACAGCGAGTGGGGTTCGAACCCACGAGGACTTACGTCCATTGGAACTTAAGTCCAACGCCTTAACCACTCGGCCATCGCTGTTCCAGACACTTGTAACTGTCAGTTTATGGTAAATTAAGTCCAATAATTTATATTAAATTGAATGTCTATAAGCGGAATTCAATCAACAGATTCAGACAAATAAGGAAGAATGTTACCGAGTAGCATCGTCACAATCACATTCAGGCATCTGTTCAAGTGGTACCATTAACAATTATTAAATTTTCAAAGAACTAATCCATCACATGTTAATTTAACAAATAAATAAATAAAACATTGACGAACGCTAAAGTAGGGTAAAATATGATATATTGCATCGAATCCTTATCTATGTTACGAAAAAGTTGCTTGATAGGAAGATATATATTACTCACCAGGGAAATCTTTGAACGATCCATAGATTAATTGTTCCTGTCATGTTCGGTCTCCAAGTAATCATATCTATAGTGATTATATTCTAGACCAACTTTCTCTTCGCCACTTTTATTTGTAGCATTTTCTACTTTATCCAATATCAACTTCCCCTCTCCCCTGCAACACCGCCTTTATCGCCTCTGATATAAGTATTCAGAATTCCCCATACCTGCTAATATACTAACATTCATACCGTTTCCTAATAAATATCTTTACTTCTTTCAGCTTTTTTTTTTTCAGCAAAACCAATCGATTTTGCAAAAATTTTTTGAAGCATTTTTAACCGGTTCAAAGGGAAATTTCGACGAGCGTATTTCTAATTTACCGGAAATACTAGGAATTTGCAATCGACTTAGTTGTGGAGATATTTACAAAGCTATCGATGAATTCCGAAAAAGTGAATTTTTCATTAACTTCCAGGTGAATTTTTTTTTTTTCAATTTATAGACTGACAAATTCAGACTGTAAATAATGCAAAGGTAAATAAGTTAGGTGGTAATGGATGAATCGAACTGAAATTATGACTTATAAAGATTCTTATAACAATAAAGGCTCCCTTTCTGAATAATTATGGACCATTTTTGTCGTTTAAATCTGAACTACGATCTCACTCATCGAAATTGTGAAGGAATTTCAAACTTATATCGAACTTGAAAGAACTCCAAAGAACATTTATACGAATTGTTGCAGACGGCACTACAACTAATACAAGATCCGAAAGGATGGGAGATTCTCGGTGATCTCATTTCAAATCCTGATCTGATCGCTCAATTCATCAATGGGGCAGGAGCTAAGGGTGACCGTGGTAGGATAGGAAATTTGTTTGGAGGTATTACTCGTGCTGGAAAATCATCGAGAAATAATAGTAAAGGTATCAATTTTCTGCTTCACTCATGAAGAAATATGGTTGAAGCAATTCAAAGGAAAGATAACATGAAATAAGCACAGTTTTTAAAGTTAGCTTTTCATAGAAATTGGTCCAGAAGACGGCGATATCGGCATCGATTTCAGTAAGATGGTTGAAAACGGTAATAGTGGCTATGGTGGTGAATTCAGGAAACCGAAAAAGCCAACTGCTGAAGAATTACCTGAAATTGCGGAGAACATTGATGCAGTCGACTATTACAACGCCGTAGGTTTGGATCATCTGGCATTTTCATCCACAAGTACCAGTCTATTAAGCATATAAAACAATAAACAGAGTAGGACGTAAGTATTAAATAACTAATAAGTTGAAAAATATAAATCACTCGACAGTTATGAAATAGAACGCAGAAGGAAATGAGTGATATATGCTAAGAAATTATGAACAAATTAGTAATACTTTGGAAATAAAATGCGCAACAATTAAAACCACCCAACAAATTGTCCAAAATTATTTTTAGGTTGAAACTGGTACAGATATTGATGGTACTGAAACGATTGCTAAACCAGACGTCATTGTGGTAACAGAAGCTACGACGATAGCACCTTTAATGCAGACCAAAGTACCCCCTATGATCCCTGATCTAGATCTAATATTACCCGAAATTTCCGAAAACATTGACCAAATCGGGCAGACCAAAATAATAATTGATGCCAGCACGCCGACTCCAGCCAAAATTTCGAAGTTTGTTTCCTCATTTGCTTTTTTTTAAATTTTATTTTTTGAATTTTTGATTTTTCAAAAATCCTTTTTTGGAAAACCTCAAAAGGAAATCCAAACAACAGCAATCGCAATCTTACCTTAATTTTCAGCCGACGAAATGTTGCCACTCTTCGACGATTGCGACGTCCTTATATCACAGTAACTTACAAACCTGTTGTGACAAGAACAACAGCTATTCGTAAACAGGCCATCATCTCTAGCATCCCAATAACAACCCGTCATCCCGCATGGACTGGTACAACTTCAACAAGATTAATCCCTACGACAACGACGAGAAATTTCCGGGAAGACAGTGACTATTATGCAATGTATTATGATGATGTGAGGGGTTGATATCAATTTGCATAATTAATAGTAAATTAAGAATTCGAGATTTCGGTTCTCTTATGACTTGCTGAATTTGGAATATTGTAAAAAAGTTAACGAAGGAAAAAACGGAAAAATGACGTATAAGTTCTCTTTCAATTTATGCAATTGAAAATATTTCAAATGAAGGAATTGGTGTAAACATTAATCGTTACGAAAATGAACAATATCAGTGTAAAACAAATGAAAGGCATTACTGATAAAATATATTGATTTGTGCCTTAAGTAATTACCGGAATATCTAAGATGTTTCAATGCTTCAATTCATCAACAAATGCAAAATCTATCAGTCGGGTGCACATGCTTACGCATACACATATAAACTTAACGGGTACACATGACATGACGTTCCTACACATGTCGTTCCTATATCCGATGATATAAGTACCAGAACTTCGGCGTAATGATTGTTTCTCCTTCATTTTATGATATAAAGCTAAGATTTGAGATACAGTGTCAAAATGTCTCACCATCCAATTTTTTTCCGGATATACCGAAAATACCCGAAATACAAGTGAATTTAAACTATTGTAAGTAAACAGGCTACAAATTTAAAATATAGACAAGTATTCGGGATTTGTAAGATATAAGAAATATTTAACGGAAAATAACACTCTGTCAACCAAGACAATGAGACAGATAACTGACAATATCACCATTACCGGTAAATACTGGACGAAGTGATTATCGAGGAATGGCAATCCGGAAGAAAATGAAGAAGAAATATGCTTATATCAAATTAACGAATAATTTGATAAATTTTCAAAAATTACCAATTTTAGCGATAGGATATGTTTAATTGTCACAACCTTTCAATTCATTGCACAATTGATGATGAGAACAAACTCGAAACAACTTGGCAGTAACTGACGGTAAGTTTTCGGGAAGAGTTCGTCAAAATTTTTTCTCCGGAAGATAAAAATTCAAGAATTTCCCAAAGAATTTGTAATGCGAAGTAATTGGTAGAGCGATATACCTAATCGAGCACCACCATAGTGTGAAAGTTGCACAACTGAATGATGGAGATTAAACCTAAACCATTGACCAGAAACGTAAATCTGCGTTATCCGAAAATTGGAATTTTTAATCCGGTTTACCGTGTCAGAAATTAGAACTACTGGATTGCTTTCTCTCCCTCGGATTAATTTCACTGACTATGTCTATGTTTGTATTATTGCAGCAATGCACAAATTCCCGCCACATTGAACTGTCGAGAACACAAAGAGTGCAGCCATGTGACACATCGATCGAGCGGTCGCTATCCAACTTGCCACGTGTAGCCTCTCTCGTAAGGGTGAAGTTTTGCATTATCCAGTCGGGATCTCTACTTGATAGTTTAACGTTATACTGTTAGAATCATAGGATATATACTTTGTGGACTACATTAAGGTAATTATAAGTCAGCATGTATGAAACATTTCTGTTTTTTCATTTCATTCCATTTGCAGTATTGGCCGACGCACGACATAATCAACTTATTAACAGAAATGCTTTGACGTACGTGAAAAACCAAAACGTCCATGTTATCATTTATGGTATTTCTATTCCTTTATTTGTTTATATCTGCAGCTAGGTGCTTAATTTGTTGATCAGTTCCCGTGTTATTGAGATGCTTATATCAAAAACTATTTCTTTTTCCATCATCTATGCATTTTATCAAGCTTTCCGATTCGTCTTGAAAATCAAATTTTATTGGCAAATTATCAAATCCTTGAAAATATGAAGACTGCAATAGACACGGCAAAACATAAGTTTTTTCCTTTCCCTCTTCATCAAGAAGACTTTTCTACACTTGTCCATCAAGGTGCAAATTATTGAATCATCATTTTAATTTATCTACAGGTTTCACTAGCCACTAACCGATGTGATTTATCTTCTATTATATTTTCAACGAAATATTTATTGTAGATTTGGTAGAGGAAAAGTGATGGTAAATTAATTTATTAGCAATGTACTCGAAACAATGAGGAAATTATATCGTTCCGGTAGCGAAGGCCATTTACCTTTTCTCGTTAATCCAATCTCAGAAAAGAGAGCATCTCTACGTATGTGCCGAGTATGGAACTTTTTTTACTTCATACATAATGTTGATACTTAGATGTCACTTTATCACATGTGATTGGCATCAGAATAGGTGCAGCTCAGCTTTTGGAAATTGTTAAGTATAGAATGATCTTACACAAGAGGACCGTATTTTTGAATATATATTCAAGATAACTAATCAGTTAGGATAGATATTCTGATAATTACTCTGTTTTGAACTGTATATTATCTTAAAAGCGACTCTTTATTTAAAAAACATTCTTAACAGGCGTTTTTTTTTAGTACTGGCGATCACTGGCTCGTTTACAACGTTTCGCTGTGCTCATTTCACTCCTTTTTCTATTGATGATATGCTTTATTGCTGCAAAAGACACAATAGGTGTGGATAATATATATCAGTTACCAAAAAATATTGCAAATGGTGCAGAACCAATCGATATGCCGCCTGATAATTATAAGGTTCTAATTGATGGTTTCCTCTACTGCTCGCACAATTTTGCTGAGTAACCTAATAATTTGAATCAAGAATCCTTTCCAAAATTTCTTAAAAGTATTTCAGTTTTTGAGACTTTGACTTCATCTTGCATCTTCAGTTCAGTGTTTACAGATTGTTACGTTTTTTTTCTTCCTGATTTTTAGTCACCAGAAGAAGTGCCGTATAAAAAATCAGCACCGGTGAATGAAAGTCGTGAAAGATCTAAAAGCAATGAAGGAAAGAATAATAATGATGCAAATAAAGAAAAGATTCAGAGACTCAAGTACGCCAAATTTAAAGGTAGATTAAAATCCTTCTCTTTATATTCATTTAGTAATATATTCTCTTTATTTCTGTGAGTTCAACAGAAACTATTTGCTTTAAACTATGATTTGTAAAGTTTTCGCGATCTTTGAGGAACTTATATTGTTCGTATAGTGCTTTCGACTACTATTTACAATAATGGTTTCTTTTTTTTTATTTCAGGGCCACAAAACGATAAACAGAAAGCAGTCGTAGAAGCATTTAAGCATGCTTGGAAAGGATATAAGAAATATGCTTGGGGACATGATCATTTAAAACCGGTTACGAAGTCGTATAATGACTGGTTTGGTTTAGGATTGACGATTGTTGATTCTTTGTCAACTGCCATTATTATGGGACTTAATGATGGCAAGCTTCATTAAATTCTTTTCTAAATATCATAAATTGTAAATATGCATATGGAGGAAAGGCGTGGTGGGACGAAAGAAAGAAGATTTTATTTTGGAAAACGTTTTTATTATTAAGAATTCGAAGAAGGGCGAAATTGGGTTGCTGAATCACTATCATTTGAAAAGAATCATTTTGTGAGTTTCTTCGAAACAACCATACGTGTACTTGGTGGCTTATTAAGTGCTTATCATTTGAGTGGAGACCAAATATTTGTTCACCGTGCCCAGGATCTTGGCTCTCGCCTTACTGCCGCTTATGCAACCTCATCTCCTGTTCCATATAGCGACGTCAGCCTTACGAATAGGTTTTCTTTTCTTTAAAAAAAAATTTCATATCTTGTCATTTGAGCAAATAATACTTCCATTATATTTCTTCGACTTTTTAACTTTTTTCCTTAATTTTAAAACTTTTTTTCATAACCATATTCCTGACTAGTGAAGAAGGAAAGGGTTCAGCAGTAACTTTGCCAATTTTTAGATATTTATCCATAAACGTTAGGCACTGCGCAATAATTAATGTTGGATAACAGATATCATATAAATTGTCACCTTTCCTACTATTAATTATTACTGAACGCTTTTCAGGAATAATTACCAGTAGAAATGGGACAGTTCATTTGAGGATAGAAGATTGTGCAAATTCCGCATTTCACACTATCAGCTGTAGTTGTTAATTACCATTCAGATTGTGTCGTTTGCACATCCAAAATTGGTTTCGACAAACGGCCATATGTCTTTTAAAACTTGTGTAATTATATATTTTCGACCAAGTGGTATATATTGCCACGACGTAGAAAATAGCTACTCTAAAAGACGTTAACAATAGTTTCAGACAACTTCTCTGAGTGACTTTCAAGTGCCTGATTTTTAGGGAGGGAAGACAGCCGTCGTGGAATACTTATTGTTCTCTTTCCGAAGTAACTAGTGTTCAGTTAGAATTGCGAGATCTTTCTCGAGTAACTAACAACAGTACCTATGAAGCAAGTGTTGTTTGTTTATTTGGTGATCTTATTGGTTAACTTGAAAATGTGCCTTCATTTGTAATTTAAATGAAATTCATTTGAATGAAGTCCACTTATAATATAAATGAAATGAATTTAATGGTTTATTTAAAAAGTATAGATGCTTGCATTTCGGACATCCGAACATGTACACAATGAAGGTTGTCAAGAATACGATGGGCTGTGCGGTATGTTTATCAGTCCAGTAACAGGACGATTTAAAGGTGATTATATATTTTTTTTCTTGTTACTTTACCTAAAATCACTCTGCTACTTATTTTTCTCTCATGATATAAATTATTTCACATTCGTAAAGATTACTTTTTAAAAAGAGTTAATTTGTTTTTGCTCTACCTAGAACATGTGACCGTTACTATGGGTGCACGAGCAGATAGCTACTATGAATATCTATTGAAGCAATGGTTACAAACCGGCAAAACAATGGATTGGTAAAATTGCACGAATTTTGTGACAAAAATTTACTTTAGTATTGTTTTTTATGTCTTATCTATGGTGTTTAGGCTGAAAAATGATTATAACCAATCAATGGCAGCAATGGAAAAATATCTTTTGCGATACACAAAACCGAATAATTTTGCTTTCGTTGGTGAAATAATAGGTGATAATGTATACTCCCCGAAAATGGTATTTTAATTTATGGTTTTTGGACTTGTGCAATTGATTTGATAACGGAAGTGATAACACACAATAGCAGACTCTTTTGTATTCGTATTTTAATTATGTTAATCTCAACTTGCAAATACTAAATGACCTCATTTGGTGTAATATTGTAATCTATCTTTCAGGGCATGCGCACGTCTTATCGTGCATCATTTTAACACTGGAGGAGTGTTGTAGATGTTGCAATATAATATAAGTGATTATGTCTTCAAAGGTAAATTTTTAGGATCATTTGGCATGCTTTATCGCTGGTACCCTTGCACTGGGTAGTCTGAATGGTTTGCCAACAAAGCATATGGAGCTTGCAAAAGATATTGCGAATGGATGTCATCAGATGTACAAAACAAAAACTGGTTTAGGTCCAGAAATCGTTTATTTCAACATGGATCCAGCAAATATTCAAGATATTACAGTAAAAGTAGGTTAAACTTTTAAAACAAAGTAGGTTAAGTAGATTAAACTCCACAGAGTTGTAGTAACAACATGTTTTTTTGATAAACTGCAGTTTGTGGAAAAAAGAAGTCGTTTGTAAAGAATTAGTTCAGGAATTGGTTTTCAGCACATGGATGCACATAGTTTATTGAGACCGGAAGCTATTGAAGCTTGGTTTTATCTTTACCGAGCAACAGGTGACAAGATTTATCAACAGTGGGGATGGGAAGCTTTCAATGCTATCGAAAGTTTTGCAAAGCTTGAATATGGTTATTCGTCTGTGAATAATGTCAAAAGAATACCCGTGACACATAAGTAAGTTATATCGCCTAATTATGAATGTAAAAAAATTTTTGAATTAATTTTGAATTTTGAATCCATTTTACTACTGCTCATTTAATTTCAGAGATATGATGGAATCGTTTTTTTGGCTGAAACTTTGAAATATCTTTATCTTTTATTTGATGATGACAAAACTGATATTCCTCTCGACAAATATGTCTTTAATACGGAAGGTCATCCATTGCCAATTTATGACCACTGAAAATATTGTTCATAAGTATACGCCTTCAGTTCAAATTAATGATTAATGATGGAAGTGCAAAGTGTCGGAAAACTGCTCTACATAGATTTTTTTAAATTTATCAGCTAAAACTGAATCGCGCTTCTGTATCACCGAATTTCCCACTCTGCTTGAAACTTCTGGGAATATTTTTCTGGTGCACTTCAATCTGTGTATTTGGCCGTTCCAGTGCAACAGCCGTCCCATGCGATTTAAAGCTTTCGAATCTTAGAGCTTTTTAATTGGATTTTAAATTTGGAAGATGGTATTTCAGAATTTTCGATACGTCATGTTCTTTTTATCTCTTCATAGTTGATTTCAATATCCGGTCAAATTACATAATGCAATAAAATTATGCTGGTTAATTTTCTTCATTTCTTTTGTCAGTTTTCAGAAATTTAAAGAGTCATATTGTAATTTAACCTCTTAATGCTGCTTAATACTGTTATAATTTATGCACGTGAATTATGCCGCCGGTGACCTCATCTGCAACTAGTCTTTCTCAGTTTCATTATGCTTTGTTTTTTTTCGTAATTTTCAGAAGTTTAGGAACGGTCTTCTTTTTGTTCTTCGAAAAGGACAGGTAAGAATATGGCAAATCATTGGAGATTGTTAATTGTGGACTGGTATTCACCTGAATCTGAGGGATTCCTTCATTTTTTGAAATTCGTGCTCACCTTTTATGAAAGATGGAAATGAGTGTTGGCTAATCCTTCCTTTCTTATCCATATGCATTGTAAGGCGCATTCGGGCGCATGTTTCTACAATTGGATGTTGCATTTTTAACCGCTCGAAGGATCCGTCTTTCAGTACTAACTTTCTAATGACTTTAATTTGCTGGTGTGGAACCTGGTGAGTTTTTTACTCTCTCTTCTCACCCGCTTGAACTCGGCCATTAAGATAAGCAATTTGTTGAATTTAGATGTCTTTTAACGTTGAAAATGTTTGTTTTCAAGTTAGTTGTTACATTACTCCATTGATAATATCTTTTATTACAAACGCTTTATTTTGTCCCGGTTTATATTGTTATCACTTTAATTTTCAGTCATTACTTTTTTCATATGTTCTTAATTACAGAAAGTTGCATGCATATGTGTAGCAAATTGTCTGCTCTATGAATAGATGTAAATTAATTACATTCAATGCGTAAGATGAATGTAATGCGTAAGATGAGTGTTCCCCTATTCAGCGTAATCACTTATTACTATCCTATTTATCCGTACTTAGAATATCCGCGAAATAAAGCTTAATTTGTGTCCTCTCGATCTTAGTTCATAAAAATGCTGCAGTAGGATGATACTTGGATTGCAAAACATTCTATCAGTGCATTTTTCCTTCATCGATACTCTGAACATCTCGATGCACTATTCAAAAGATTCCTTATACTTATAACGAGCATATCATAAACAGCTTATTTCTGATAAGCTGTTACAAATCCCTTTCCAATATATTTTCCTTTCACAAACATAACATGAAAAAGATATCGGATTACAAACGGATATTATCATTCTGTGTTAGCTGTATCGAGAGATATCAATGACAGTGGAAATTTTGCAGGTGGTAGCATTGCTGGCCAGCCGTTAACCAGCAAACTTCACAAAAGAGATGAGTTTATGCAAATTCAGAATGGGCAGGTGAAATTGTTCAGTAACGAACCACTTAGAATGTATCAATTCCATTACATAATTTGGTGTCAGATTTTGTTTGAACTAAATTCGTTCCCGGAACCATTTATTTCATTTTGTAACAGCTAACATCGTAAACTTTTTTCCGATATTGTATCTTGCTAAAAGCGCAAAAAATATACTAAATAACTAAATATTTCAGTTACCAAAAGTTTCAAATGAGATTATCAGAGCAATAACTTCTAGAAATGAAATATGTTCCAAGTCAGCTACACATTTTAAAAATCTCAAACTAAACTTTTAATCACTTACCTAAATTACTTACTTGCTTACCTTACCTACTTATCTAAACTTATCTAAATATGCCTAAAAAATCATCCAGAAAAAAAGCAACTCTGTTTAGAAAATCTATTACATTCCAAATATAATTTTCAATTCTTCAAAATTATTCATAATTAAAATTTACTATAAAGTGATATATAAAATTAGCAAACTGTTGTTGCGTCAAACATTTTCAGTAGTTGTCATTTCACGCGCAGCGGTTTCCAAATTACTGTCGGAAGATTCTTTAATTATGGACACTTTTGGTATTACAATTCTTATTTTGCGTGCTTTTGCTGCAGTATGTTTCTCTTCATTGCTTATTATCATTAGCACTTATCTGTCGTGATATAATGTCATATATGAAAGTGTTATTCTTTCAATCAGATGAAAATATTTGTGAATGGGAAAGCGAAAATAATAGCAATAATTGGGAGAATGCAAAGTTTAATAAGATTTTTGAAGTACAAACAAATCATTGATAATAGATAACAAGCTTAATTTCGACAATAAACACAATCATTGTTCTCACAAGTGCAAATTATCATGGACGTATTATTATGCCTATGGCTGGTTTTATCTTACTTGTACTTCTTGTCATTTGGACATTTATCGCTGTAGCAGATGTCTTTGTTGGATTACACGAAAAATATATTTGGGTTGTATTAGTTTCTTAATAGCTAAGTTTGCAAAATTATCAGGATTGCTTACTTACTGTCACCTTAAAAATGGTCTTTCTTTTTCAAATGCTCTTGAATGAACTCTCGAGTGATTCACACCTGATCAATGATTTCTTATTTGAATATAATCAGTAAGTAACGATGCTATGCATTTTTGGCCTGTAAGATTTTTGAACGATACTCAGGAAAACATATGAGGTATTAATAAGATCACAATTGATAAGATAGCAGAAATATTGATGATAAATCTGCATAAGTTATTCTGTTGTGAATTATAGGTAAGCAGATTGATGTGGTTCAGTGTCCCATATGGCTTATTGACGGCTTACCTTGTCACATCAGCTTATCTTTGTGTCATGTTACATCGAAACTTAATCATTGTCAATATTTATTATAAACAATTATACTTTTTTCGTCCTTTTTCGAATTATTTCAATTTCCTTCTCAAATCTCTTTCTTTTTGCAAATTAGCCAAGAATGTAAGCAGAGTAGTTGAACTAAAAAGCTATTAAATTGCTGCTGCGCGGTTACTGGAGATTTGCATTCTCGAAAGTTTTTAGCACATATCTTATTCTGCTAAATTAATTATATTTAAATTGTTGAGGCATTTACATGGATGGCAGTGTGCGACATGATCACGGATGCATATATGATAAATTGCTTATCAAGGGATTCAATGATAATTCATACATAAAGGAAACACAGTTAAAGATAGCAGAAGATATTATTATTTGAAATGATTTCTTTTGATCAAATTTATTATAAAAAAATACAAATAAACACATACCTTAAAACGTACTTTTGGTAAAATGGCCTAGCAATTAAAAAAATCTAGCAAAGCTTAAATGTTTAACTATATTCGAAACTTTTTGATCCCTTGTGCTTTCAAAATGTTTGCATCTTGTAACGTCAAAGTATTGAAGTACTTTCCCAAATATTTCGCTGGAATATTGTACAAACAGAAATTACAGTACCCGTGGAATTTGTTGAGTACTCTGGCCAAGAAGAAGCAATTTTTAGACGAGAAAGTTATAAAATCATGTCAATATCTAGACCACAAATTTACAAATATGGATGATACATGCGAAAATATGATAAGAGTAAATGATAAGTGATTAACATAAGTTGAGTTAAGTGTGATAACATCGAAAACTTTACTGTTCAATAGTGATTGCACAGTGATGATAATGGTGTTGTCATGAAATATCACTGTTTTCTTTGTGATATCGTTTGACAATGCAAATACTTCTACCATAAGTCTTAGTTAAAAAATTTTGTAGTATATAATTGTAAAAACAATTTCCTAGCGAAACATACCTTTCTCTTTCTCCATTTTTAATATTATAAATCCACTGCGAAATAATCTCCCCCAATAGCCTGAATGTCAAAACCTAAGTTTCCAGGTTTCCACGTGATGTACCTTTTTACGTAATATAGCCATTACATCGCGTGTATAACAAATGTCATTACGTTCAAATTTAGGATTTACTTTAAATATTATATGCCACTGCTAGCACTCTTCTGAAATTGATGAATAAATATGCCATCAATAGTAATGAGAATCAGGAGCACTTCTCGTTTGATACTTCCACGGAAATGCTTGGAATACCACCAGCGTTTTGACTAATTTTCCATTCTTTTCTCTTCAAGAAATAATACGGGCGGTTTTCGAATCCGGTTTCATTGATATCTTTCACTTCCAGTGATAATGAATTGATATATTTACAGTAATTAGCAAAAAGCCAAAAATATGGAAGAGTGAATAACGACATTACCTGTTCCCACGACTAATACACAAATATTCGATGATAGCCTTTTGATTTGGCCTCTTCGGCTAACATCGTAAATAACAATGAATTTACTGAAAAGTATCGGGGACTATTTATAGCGGATTTGGTTATTATCCGGGAATGTCACGAAAAGATGTATATGAAGAGATTGAATATGATCAATAAGGTATTTTCTCACTCAAGGATTGCTCATAGCTGGTTGGTTCTTCCACTGCTCTCGGTATCATCCTCTTTTCAGGAATAATTTATTTCTTTCACCAATCCAGAAACTTTCCTGAAGAAAAACCAAACCAGAAATAAACTTTTGTTTCCCACCAGTGATCAGTCAATCGCAGTCCAACTCTAACTAAACCATATCCCAGAAGAGAGTTCAAGAAGACCAATATGGCTGTTATCATAATGATCACCTGTATCCTATCATTATTCAGTAACATTATCGCACCAACACTGATCATTTTAAGTATTATACAATGTGCTGCCAAAAAAGCGTTAGTTTCATCGTAATTGCTTTTCAGAAATGCATCGATCCCTTTAAATTAGCTTTTTCGCAAGTTTTTAGTACTAAAAATCATTTGAATTTAAACCATTCAGAAATTAATCTTTGGCGTTTGTTAATCAGACATTAAATTTTGTTACATTGTCACATTTCAAACCAACTTTCGGAATGGATTTAAATGATTCCGGAAATTCTTCTTTTTATTATTTCCAAAATTCTGATTATTAAATCTTCAAACATCTCAAATTACGACATTAAAATTACATTAAACATTAAAACATTAAAATATCTAAATTCCTCAAACGATATTAAACCATTCTATTTCTATAACTAACGCCTAACAGGTGCAATCAGAATCCTAATAACTCCTTTAAAATAAGTATATATCTTACCCTAAGCATCAGTCGGTTGACAATACTTTACTTTATCAATGATAAAAGGCTGAGAGTATCAATCCCTACAATATCCCAAGTTACTGAATATATCCTCAGCTCTATCGTAATGATTAGCGATTATAGGGAGGTAGTGGGTAATTTATTTTCATCAGTCTTCAAATTTTGATTTTGATTGAGTTGAAAAGCTGGTAAGTTTCATATATCATTCAAAGAGGGCGTTCCGTCCGGTCTTAACCTTTTGATCTCAACAAATCTTTATCGCAGTTTGTTATCCGGTGAGCCATAGAAACATCCCTTTCTCCTCACATAATCTCATAACATTATTAAAAGTAATTCTCGCAAAAATTATTGAAAATGGAGATTATCAGTGACGGATATTTTAGTGATAAACCACCGGCACCAGCGGGAGGTGCTGCCGCTCCGGCAGCTGCGGCCCCTGCAGCGCCTGCAAAACCCGATGAAAAGAAGGGGGAAGAGAAAAAAGATGAGAAGAAGGAAGGGGAGGGTGAGAAGAAGAGCAAAAAATCGGAACAAGAAAAAAAGGAGGGTGAGGGTGGCGAAGGAGAGAAGAAGGATGAAAAGAAGGAAAGTGAGGGCGAGAAGAAGGAAGAGGACAAAAAAGAAGGGGAGGGTGATAAGAAGGAGGAAGGCAAAAAGAGTGAAGAGAAAAAGGAAGAAAAGAAGGAGGGAGAGGTAAGTGCCGGATTTTTTTTTAGCTGGGTATTGAAACAAGAAACTGAAAAGATTCCTGGAGTCCAGTCAATTTGCAATACTACATCAGGCAAATATCTGATTCATACTTGGAACTGCAGGTTCTGAAGTTTTAGGTTGAGAATTAACCTTTAACCTTTTGGAATCCAACAACAGATATGTTTGCTGCAATACTTGAGATTGTACGTAGCAGAAGACAAGCTGAAGTTTGAATGCAAACAGATTTGGTCGAGTAGAAATCCCAAGTTTTCAATTATCGGTTTAAATTTTCTAGGAAGAAAAGGGTGAAAAGAAGGAGGGTTCCAAGAAGGAAGGTTCCAAAAAGGAGGGGTCGAAGAAAGAGGTAAGAAAAATTTTAGCTTTCCAGTTTTCTTATTATCATCCAATCATTTTGGTTATAAACTTGAAAGATTCAGGAAGACAAGAAGGGTTCAAAGAAGGAAAGTTCCAAGAAGGAAGGATCGAAAAAGGAAGGGTCCAAGAAAGAGGTATGCTTCTGCTTAAAATCGCTCACTGAATTCTGAAATTGTTTTTCTCTCTTTCAAAATTTTAAAAAGAAAAAAATATTTTTAGGAGGGTGAGGGTGAAAAGAAGGACGAAGAAAAGAAGGATGAGGAGAAGAAGGATGAGGAGAAGAAGGATGAGGAAAAGAAGGATGAAGAGAAGAAGGATGAGGAGGAAAAGAAGGAAGAGTAAATGGCGGGGCAAAAAAAGAGGGGCGCAAAAGGAAAATCTCATAAAGTGGGAACTGAAGCTTCTACAAGAGAGCCAAATGATCCGACTTAATGTCTTGAATCGTTCAATATTCTACTGACAAAATTCTTCCCCAGAAATACTACTTTTGTACATAGAAATGAATAAATTACTGATGCCCTTCAAAATAATGTTACACATCCCAATCAGAACATACCCCAGATCTTATCACGGATTATCATTGAGTGGTTTATTATGATATCTCAGCTGGATAAGAATAACTTCATTCTTTTGCGAATTATCATTTATCAGTTTGTAATAGGTCGGATTCGAATCTCTCTTATATTTTCTTTTGAAATGTGCCTTAACCTAAGCCATACTTTAACTAAATATCGCTTAAAAAGAAATAATTTATTTGGAAATGTCATAAAATGCAAGGAATTACGCGAAACATTTTCTCCTACCTATTGGGACATTTTTCAACAAGATTTTCTAATGTTGAAAACCGGAAATGTTTTGTAGTATCCGTTCTATCACTTAGGAGATAAAAGATAGAGCAAAGATTGTCGTTCGAATTGTCATACATTGTATATAACATTAATAGAAAATCATACTAGAAAGTCATTTGCAAAGCAACAGAATATTACTAAATCGCATTTAATTAGATTTGATTCAATTCATTTCAATTTAATTTGACTAAGTTAAATTTAAATTTAACAAAGCTTCATAATTATATTTAATTTTTTTTTTATTCCTTAGAATGAAGCTTTTTTTGCACGATATTATGCAAAATTCAAAATTTGGAATTTTGCATAAAGCAATAAAACAACTGTAATTCTACAATTAATTTGTTAT